AAAAAAAAAAAATTTCCAACCTGGTAATGTGTACTTGCTATTAATGACAATTCCTTGATGTCATCAGTAAAAGAGTCTGTTAAATTATTTTCTAAGCTCCTTTGATAATGGAATTTTTCTAGTTATGTCCATTCCATTATGTCCATTTTTTAGAGAAAAAAAATACTGTTTTATACAATTTCTGCAATCTTGCAGTATCCCCAAAACAAAATGGGTACAGAATGGTGTAAACCAAAAGAATGATTATTAAAGGCAAAGAAAAGGTACCAATTTTCACAGTGAAATGCTACCAGACTCCACGCCTGAGTGTAGCCAAGTCTTGTCTAACATAAGACTGGGGAGACATAGACAACCTAAGAGGTGGCAAAAAATTAGGAGGTGGAGTAAAGCAAAGAGAAAATCATTTGTGAGATTTCTGCAGACTGGTGCTGCTACATGAAGAGAAATAATAATACACAAAAAGAGGCAGGGACTTAGAGAGCCAGACTGCCTGGGTACCCAGTCTTCTCCTTACTGGCTATGTGAATGTAATTAGGGCAAATTACTTAACCCTTTTTCTCTCCTTTCTTTCATTTATAAAATATGGAAAATTGCATCATCTACATATGCAGAACCTGGTACAGGGCATTAAAAAAGTAACACATGAAGATCCCGCCGCTTTCCGGTGGTGCCTGTAGCTCAGTGGGTAGGGCGCCAGCCACATACACCAAGGCCGGCAGATTCAAACCCAGCCCAGGCCAGCTAAAACAATTACAACTGCAACAAAAACATAGCCGGGTGTTGTGGCTAGCGCCTGTAGTCCCAGCTACTTGGGAGGCTGAGGCAAGAGAATTGCTTAAGCCCACGAGTCTGAGGTTGCTGTGAGCTGTGATGCCATAGTACTCTACCTAGGGCAACAGCTTGAGACTGTCTGGGGGGGAAAAAAAAAAAAAAAAAGCCTGCTGCTTTCTTAACTTTAAAGTGACCAGGAAATTTCTGGTAAGAGACAGCTCAAAAAAAGGGATAAAGATTGTTTCAGGGCAGATCTGGGTGGTGTGTTTTGTTTTGGGGGAGAAGGCATCTCACTCCGTCTCCCTGGTTAGAGTACCATGGCATCATAACTCGAACTCCTGAGCCCAGGCGATCCACCCACCACAGTTTCTCAGAGTGCTAGGATCATAAGGTTGAGGCACCATGTCTGGCCATAGAACTAGGTTTGAATCCAGTACTCATCATTATTAACTTGAGCAATACTACCTACACCGCACAGTATTGTTTTGGAATAAAAAGCAATTTATGTGGGCGGCACAGTAACTCAGTCCTATAATCCTAGAACTTTGGGAATATAGGAGGCAGAAGTAAAGGATCACTTGAGGCCAGGAATTCGAGACCAGCTTGGGTAGCAGCAAGACCTTGTCAGTGAAAGTCCAACTTATTGAGAGAGCCAGCAGAATTTTGTCTTTTCTACCTTCTATACAGTAGAATCACTATCATTAAGATCAAAATGTGGCGAGAGGTACAGTGGCTCATGCCTATAATCCTATGCTTTGAGAGGCCAAGATAGGAATATCATTCAAGGCCAAGAGTTTGAGACCAGCCTGAGCAACATAGCAAAACCTCATACCTATTAAAAAAAAAAAAAAAAAAAGGGAGGAAAAAAAAGCCAAGGTGGCATACATTTGTAGCCCTAGCTACCTGGTAGGCTAAGGAAGGAGGATCACTTGAGGCCAGGAGTTTAAGGCTGTAGTGAGCTATGATCACACCAGTGTACTCCAACCTTAAAAACATAGTGAGACCCTATCTCTTAAAAATGAATACATTTTTTCTTTTGTTGACAGAGTCTCACCCTATCACCCTGGGTAGTGCGCCGTGCTGTCATAGCTCACAGCAACCTCAAACTCCTGGGTTGAGCAACCTCCTGCTCTAGTAGCTGGGACCATAGGCTACAAAACCACACCTGGCTAGTTTTTCTACTGTAGTAGAGATGGGGTCTTGCTCTTGCTCAGGCTGGTCTTAAAGTCCTGAACTCAGGTAGTCTACCCACCTCGGCCTCTCAGAGTGCTAGGATTACAGGCATGATCCACCACACCCAGCCAAAAAAACCCAAATACTTTCTTTAAAAAGAAGGAGACAGGCTTGGCGCCTGTGGTTCAAACAGCTAAGGTGCCAGCCACATACACCTGAGCTGGCGGGTTCAAATCCAGCCTGGGCCCGCCAAACAACAATGACAGCTGCAACCAAAAAATAGGAAACATTGTGGCAGGTGACTGTAATCCCAGCTACTTGGGAGGTGGAGGCAGGAGACTCGCTTGAGCCCAGGAGTTGGAGGTTGCTGTGAGCTATGATGCCACAGCACTCTACCCAGGGGATAGCTTGAGGCTCCGTCTCAAAAAAATAAATAAATAAATAAATAAACAAAAATTCACCTTTCCAATTTGTAGGAAAAATGAAGAGTGTTATCCTACACTCTTCATAATTTGTGGAATCTGCTCCTACTCACACCAGAAATGCTATTAGATCAACTCTAATTTGGAATAAAATATCTTAGGCGGTGCCTGTGGCTCAAAGGAGTAGGGCACTGGCTCCATATGCCAGAGGTGGCAGGTTCAAACCCAGCCCCAGCAAAAACAAAAACAAACAACAACAACAAAAAAACCCCCTGGAATAAAATATCTTTAAAATACTTGGAAGTTTTACTTCAAATTTTTAAATTATTGTAATTGTCATAAGAATACTGATTTCTCTTAAGGAATCTGCATTACCTTCATGGAATGGTGGAGAAAGAACTAGGTTAATGAGAAAGCCATTACTTTAAAACATTTTTGGCTCGGTGCCTATAGCTCAACCGGCTAAGGCGCCAGCCACGTACACCTAAGGTGGTGGGATCGAATCCCCAGCCCGGACCCGCCAAA